CATCTTTATTAGTAAATGTGTTTTATAATGTAGTTTTGTACATCTTTATTATTAAATGTGTTTTATAATGTAGTTTTGTACATCTTTATTATTAAATGTGTTTAACGTATTAGAATTATAAATTTTGGCTTTTAATGTGTTTAATTAAGTTGTTTGATGTGAGATTGAAGAGACACTAATGTGTCGAAACTAGTTTCTCCGTATCAAGACTTCTGGTTTATTTACTGTTTTTTTTCTTTCAGTATCTTAATTTTCCAGGATTTGTGTGATAATATTTTGGCTAATATAAAAACTATGTGACCTTTTTAAATCCTATACTCTTCTCTATTGATGTATCTTTATTCCAGATCCATGATAATATACCAAAATCTTATAGTAATTAATTTTAAAAACTTGTATTATTCTATTATTGAAGTGGCTTTGGGTAGTGGGTGATGGGAAAAAATTGAAATTTGGGAAAATTTATTTTTTGTTTAATATATTCATAACTTATATTTGGTTTTGTTTCAATTACAGTATAAATACCAGATCAATATTGATGGTACGGTTGCAGCCTACCGACTCCCCTACTTATTAGCAGGAAGTGGTGTGGTGTTAAAACAAGAATCTCATTATTATGAGCATTTCTACCATCAGATGGAACCTATGGTTCACTACATCCCATTCAAACAAGACCTCTCAGATCTTATTAAGAAGCTTGAGTGGGCTAAAAACCATGATGCAGAGGCCCAAAGAATATCAAAGAATGCACAACAGTTAGCTCTAGATCATCTTCTGCCAAAAGAAGTGTTCTGCTATCATGTGGTATTATTTCAGGTAACTATTTCTTGCCATTAACAAGAGTGTAGTTAAAAATCCTTGTTGGAGAAGAAAGGCAGTTTGAAAAACTGTAGAATTATAATATAGATGGTAGTTCTGAATGGTGTTTTTTTGTAGACAGCTAACTTTTATTTGGTTTTTAATTTGAAAAATGTATGACAATATAAACTGAGTTTTTGTTATGTGCACTTCAGGAAGTTGTTTTTCAATATTCAGTAATAATATTTGTGAATTCCTTTCCATATTTCTGAATGTAATGTTATGTTCTTGTTTAACTCTCATAATGAGCATCTTTTGTGAGCATGTCAGAGGGTTTTAGTGAGTTACATTCAAAATTAATTAAACTATTTCCTTATTATGGTATATAAATAAACTTGGCCTAAACATGTAGCATTTTAACATTATATAAGTTTTACATTCTTAATTTTATAAGGTGATATTAAAAAAAATCCTCAATTTATCCTAGTGTGAGAATTCTGACGTTTGTTCTCTTGTCACATAATTTAGAAAGCCGGAAAACTGTGATTGTTATGGGTTATTGTCTGCTTTTTGCATGTTATACTTCTGTGTTCTTTGGTGGGTTGTTTAATTAGATAAAAAATTATTTAGTACAGTAGTACCGTTAGTATAAAAAAACAGGGTTAAGTGACATTGACAGTCAACAGAAAAAAAACAAAAGAAAAAAACAGGGTTAAGTGACATCGACAGTCAACAGAAAAAAAAAGTACCAGGTAAGTACTTTATTTCTTGTTTTTCATGTATATTCTTTATTTATCATTATAAAAGTAATTAAACCGTAAAAATTAGAAACATTTTAGATTACATAAGGTTAGATTAGATAAAATAAATAATAATAATAATATTTGGTGGTTACAAGGTTGGTCAACCAACCTCATATATAGAGTTAGGGTAGAGAAAATAACAGATAAAATATAAAGTTTTATGGAAAAATAACGTTTCATAATTATTTAGGATGTATTAGAGATTACACAAATGAAATTTAAAAATTTTCAGAGGATTTCATGATGATTTAGGTGCGAGATGCAGTAGAACATGTTGATCGTGGGGTATGTGGGAGTTCAAAACTTGTAGCAGGTGAGAAAAATTTTGCATAAAGAGGGCAGCACTGAACGAGAATAGTTATATGTGTAAGCGGAAATATATTTTCAGTATAGGAAAATAATAACTTTCATTGCTCTTTAAGACATTTTATTACAAATATCAGACAACAAGACCAAACACCAAAAACAACTAAAGGCTAAATTAAATGAGTGAGAAAGTTACACTGTTGCCAATGGCACTGTTATAGTAAACTAAAGTATCTTATTTTTCTCTATTCACCAGTACTATTGGAATAGTGTTTAGATATGTGTTGTGGGTTATCCAAAACAAAAATAAGCATACTGTTAGCGTTCTTGTGCATTAAGTTAGAGAGTTATACACATGGATTGGAGCTGTACATCCAGAATTGTTTTGCTAATATCATTAACAGATTTTATGAGTTTTGCTTAGAATGATTTTGATTAAATTAGGAATAATTTAAGAAAACTAAATTAAAATCCTTACATTTGTTTTGGGATTGTGGTGCTATGTAACATAGCTGTACGAAAGTATGAAAGGCTATTTTTAACAATACTGGGATTACATATTTCTTATTAAATTTGACAGTCGAGAAAATATTAGGTGTACTACCTCAAGAAATAATGAAATACTGTTCTCTTGAACATGCTAAAGTGCTTCCCATTGATAAACTTCTTTCCAAAAATCCTGGTATTCCATCTTGCAACTCTTTCCTAACTCTATTCAAACTTCAATATTCCAAATATTTATGTTGGGGGAATCACTGACAATGTTATACAGTTTCAGTTGCACATGATAAGCGACAGCATCTATTCACAGCCAGCATTGTGATTCTCGTCATAAAACTGATACAATTAGAATTTTGAGGATGATAAGTAAAACAAATCTTCTGAAGGTGGCATGGTAAGCAGGCCTCATGGTGGTCGTATCTAAGTGAAAGATTACTACTGTTTATATGAATCCAAATACCAAAACAAAAAGGATTAAACTCACCAAGGTCTGTTCACTGTTCTGTTTTATATTAATTATTATACCTATTTGGTTTTATATATTATTGTGCAACTCATTTTGAAAAACTTTTAATACCCATTTGAACACATCAGTTTTCAAAATTAAGTCTTTGCTGACACAAGATTAGAAAGAGTGTATGTATCTGCTGTGTGGCTTTATAACTGATACTGGTTCAATATATATGTAGCATTTAAATGTTTGAAGAACAAGTAGGCTTAGAAAGTATTGTAACATGAGGTTGTATACTATTTTGGTTGACATTTATCTTCAGATTAGATCCTAATAAGGCCAGTCTGTGCTGGTCTACAATTGTATGGTTGTTGAGTATGTTCCTGTAGAATCCAGTTGTGGCTAAGGCATTCTATGGGCTTGAAAGAAAGAAAAAAAAATTGGTCATCATTTTTTTTTACAGTTCCCAGTCTTACTATAATGGAATAATGGCATGACCATCTATATATCTACCTATGTATGTGACCAAAATGATAAATAAAATAGCGCCATCTGTTGTGGTGAAATATAACAAGATCTTAATGCCAGAAGTGGTGATTGAGGTTTATGAAATGTGGCGCCATCTATTGAATGGCACCACAAAGAAAAATCCAAAACACAAATTTCACACTTTGGGTATTTAAGATTCAAACAATTAGAAAAATATCAATGGTATGTGCAACAACCATTTCTTTATAACAGAACACAATTTTAAATAAAAGTACCCTCCTCACA